TAGGTCCCAGTGCAGAGACCCCCGGGCCCCAAGGCGAATCTCCACTCCCTGCCTCCTCATCGCCACACTGTACCCTTCCCTTCTTTTCTGTCCCTTTGCCTTCAAAGCAGTACACGCTGCGCTGACCTTGGGAGCCCTCACTTCTGTGTCCACAGACTTCCGTTTCTCTGCATCTTCTCAGGCCAGAGATGTAAAGACATTGGTTCAGTCTCCACCCCCGCGCTCCCCTTTGCAGCCTGGCTTTTTCCCCAGCAGTGATCCAGGCTGTTGGGGGTCAGCTGTCAACACATAGCTCACTTCCTCCCTTTGGCGCTCTCCCTTGCCCCACCATCGCCCTCCTGGTTCTCTACCTATGTGGATGACCTCTCCTCTCCCTCCCATTCCTTAAACATAGCAAGTTCCCAACTTAAGCTGAAGTCTGCAGGGGTTATCTTGAAGCAGCAGCCACTAACAGGCTGCCTCTTGGTACACTCTTCCAGGACTCGCCAAGGCCAACAGGACACAATCAGAGGTCCTTTCGATGGCACTCAAGGCCACCCCTGCTGCTCTGTCTCCACTCCAGGCAAATCTCTCTTCCCACCACCACTAAACACTTTTCCCCCAAGGTCCTCAAGGTCCAGCTCTCACCAACACTCTTCCTGCCTTTCCTGCCCAGCTGATCCAATTGCTCTGCTAGTCTTGATCATTCAGCTCTCTTCTTAGGCCTGCCTTCCTTGTCTCTGCTGCCCAGGTAGGAAGCAGCCTTGTTTCCCTTCCAGCTTGCACACCTACTCCCAAGGCAGGTAACCCATGCAACATATTGGCTGGACATCCTCCCTACCATTCTAGCTTGGGTGCAGCTGGACACAAAGGTATCTCATCTGAGCCACGAAGAAGGTGCCTGCAGGACTCCAGCTAGTGAGGCTGACATGACTGGAAATGTGGGTCAGGAGCTCAGAGAAGCAAGTCTTGTCCCACAGCCCGTTCCCACATGCATGATGGAAGAGACTGGAGAGACTTCTCAGAGGCAGAGTCTCGTAAGGACCCCAAAGTCCAGGTGCCATGGTATTCCAGAAGAGCAGCAAAGGAGCCAGTATGACCCCACACTCTCTCCTTGGCAGCTCCAGCATGACACTCACCATTCTTAGTCTCTTATAAATAATTTGGGGCCCAAATCTTAAGTATTCTGCCAAAGGACACTTTCTTGACTGTTAGACACCTTTAGATATACGAGCCCTTGCACCTGGCAGTTGGTCAGTAGTGTTAGTTAAAAGTGGTATCCTCATCAAACACCCATGTTAGCTTCCAAATGAGGATGCTTTGGGACAATTCATGCCTTTAAGTCCAGTGGGGGATCCAGATGTATACAAGGAGTAATGTCAGTGATCACCTTCAAGGGCCAGGGAAGAGGAAGACAGAGACCCTGCACCAACAAGCTCACACCCCGAGGCCACTGAGTGAGCCAGTCTACCTGGAGAAGGGGACAGAGGGTGAAAGAGGCCAATATCTGTCCCAGGACTGATGCTGAAGATGGGATAGGGCCAGGCTGACCCCAGGACTCCAGGGATGCCATCACACAGACACACAGACACACACACACACACACACACACACGCACACACACACACACACACACACACTGACCAACACAGGCAGAGCACAGATGAGTGGTACCGTCTGTCATGTTGCCCCGGGTGCCAATTCTCACACCCAGAACAGCTGCTATCCATGGAAACTGCTAAGCTATTCACCAATACTCATTGCAAAGCAGAACCCTTTTCCTGTCTCACAAATTAGCCCCTGGATAGGAGTTTTCCGCTACTAAACTGCCCCAGCTGGATGGCATGGTGACCATTTTTGTTGGGGAGTGACTGAGAGTTTGGCGCTGATCACTAGCAACCAACCCCACTGGCCAGCTGAAGTGGGCTGTCTGTAGCGCCAGAGCTTCAGGTCCTGCCTTGCAGTCCTGGTCCCCCCTAGAACCTGCGGTTGGGGGAAGAGGACCAGTCTGTCCACTCTTGAGTGGATGCACACTTCTCCGGGATTCCAGTGCTGGCCTTTTGCAGACCCCGTCTCTCCCTGCTTGCCCTCTGCTGTGCAGTATGGGCGCCGCTCTCTTTGTCTGCTTGCTCCTTGCTGGCCTGGCAGCACCAAGCAAGATTCTGCCCTGTTCCTGAGGGCAGGCAGCTAAGCGCACATCCCCTGGGGCCAAGGCCCACAGCAACACTGCTTCCCACTGTCCTTCTGCCCCCAAGTGGTGCTGGGCCTGGGCTCCTGGGTCTCAGAGACCACCCAGCAGCACAATGGGGCCCAGAGAGGGCAGGTGACAGAATTATGACCAGTGCCCAAGACTCTAAGTCAACCCAGATTACTTCTTGGGTCTATGAGGGCTCTCCTGTCAAGACCCTGTCACTGATGCTGTGGAAACAATTCCACATATGGCCATTAATGGCTCAGACAAGCCGGCAAGGAGCTCTGAGGTGGGCTTGTCACCAAGGGCTGATGGCAGCTGTGTGCCTCCTAGGGTTACATGTGAGAGGGGCCAGAAGCCAGACAGCTGCCTGGGAGGCTGGGAGGGCAGGGCTGGCTGGAAGTGCGCAGAGCAGAATGGGCCCTGGCACCCTGCCCTGGTGGGCTGTGCCACCCGATGGGTGTTTTCTTGTTTAAGTACCTTCGAGTCCATCATTCCTTCCAGCATAAAAACAGCACATCACCCTGCTTGTTTTGAGCAGGGGACCGTGACCTTTGCCAACAGGCGTAATTGAAGGTTGGCGGGGCCTGTGCAGGAGTGCAAGAAGCTGGCCTCTTTCCGGAAAAGGCCTCTCTAGAAGGGGCCCCGCCCTGCTCTGAGGGGCCCTTTGCTTTTCCCACTCCAGTCAAAAAAAAAAAATCTAACTTCTTTACAGATCCCAAAGCCAAATATTCGCTGCCCGGGCTTGCCAGTTCCTTCTCCGGTGGAGGTGGCGGCTCTTCCTGGCTGCCGGGCAAGGAGGAGCTCTGGGCACCATGCCAGCCTTCCCCTGAGGCTCTGCACACTGAAGGGCACTAGGATGGCATGGGAGACCACTGAGGGTTTCCAAAAAGCTGCCCTCCAAGCCTCAGTGCTGGGGTTCCGCTGGCACCTTGGGAGGCTGCTATTCTGAGCAAGGGAAGGAGATGAGAAGGCGGGGTTCTGCTTTCTGGGAGCCCCTGGACCTGAGGACACAGGTGTCACAGATGCTCATTCACTGCAGCTCTTTGTGCCTCTGTTTCACAGGCTACAGCCTTGTCTGTCTTTCCCTGTTGTATTTTTTCTTACAGCGTTTGTCTGGAATGTTGGTTGGGCCTGAACCACTCTGAGAATGTGCAGCATCTTACCACCTTGCCAAGGGCTAAGGCAGCCTGTGGCCTGTAGGCTGTGGTAAGATATAGCCTAAGCACTTGCCAGAACCTCTGGTAATAGTCTGCCCTAGGCCTGTGGACTGGGGAGGGGAGAGCTCAGAGATGTGGCAGCTAGGACTGGGCCCTCTGTGGGTGAGGTTTCCCTCAGCAGCCAAGAGCACTCCCCAGGGTTGATTATAACTTGTGTGCTTCATCCCAGACATGGTGAAGCCGTCAGGAGACACAGGCAGAAGGGGCCTGCCTGAAGAGAAGGAAGCAGCAGAGAGGCAGGGGGTTTCCTGGCCTAGAAGTCAGGAGCCCTGCTCTGTGGGACTGAAGCAAGTCAGTTCTGCACAGCCTCAACTGCATCATTTGTGGTGCCCAGTGCCGAATGAAAGTGAGAAATTCTTCGTTTAAAAGTTTCAAAGAAGGTCCGGATGTAGCTCAGTGGCACAGCACCTGCCTGGCAAGTGCAAGGCCCTGAGATCAGTCCCTGGTGGCAAAATCAATAAACAATAAATAAATATCAAGGAGATTTCAAGATGGCGCCACCAGAGCATGAAACCAAGTAGAGGGTCCTGTGAACTGTGTGGTGACAGGTCTACCAATCCAGCGCTACCTCTTTGGGCCTCAGTTTCCTCAGCTTACAGGGTGGGGGCTATGTTCATTCAGGACTTTCTCTTCCCAGCCTTCTCTTCAAAGGCGCCCTCAGGCTCCTGGGCAGGGCAAACTGCTGCTCTGGCTGCGCTGGCTTGGGAGGTCTGGGTCCGCCTCCCCCTCCCCAAGCCTTCATCAGCCACACTTGAGGGTATAGTTCAGAGCCCTGTAGATGGGGGCAAACGTCTATTTCAAATTTCAGCAGATCATGAGGTTCTCATGGCTAGAACCACAAGCATCTGTGGAGGCCACTACAACACCATGGAAAAGTTCCAGAGAGGACCCAAATTCCCTCAGGGGCCCTGTCCCATGCATGACTCCTGAGCCTGCTTCTACCTTAGCCTGAATATGAGCTTAAATGCCAAGTATGCTCTCCAGGAAGACTCTGGAACTGAAAGGCTGGCAACTCAGGACCTCGGGACCCTGGACCAAGGAACCATACTGGCTCTAATTTCTATCTCAAGAACAGGCTGTCAGGGTCACCATGGTGATGACCCCTGATTTAAGGACAGCTTAGTTCTGGCCCCCCCGCTGCTTTGTCCCTGGTCAGAGGGTAGGGAGGTCAGGCAGGGTTCAAAGGAAGAACGGGAAGGTGAAGAGGAGACTCCCAGGGCTGGGGGTGGCAGAAAGAGAGGCAGGGCTGCAGTAGCCTCCGGGACGGTCTTCAAGAAGGGACTCACAGGGTCAAGGACTGGGCTGGTGACACCTTTCTGTGCTGACTGTCCCAAGGGATTAAACTTTCCTGGACTTTAAATTTTTTGAGGGACAGAGCAACAACAGTGAAGGGCCAAGTGCAAAAAGGAGAGGGGTGCTGCGCTGGCTCTCCATTCCCTGTCCTCTCTGCATCCTCTTCCCCATTTACTCCAGGGCTCCTCCTTGTCCCCCTCAAGTCCCTCGCGCACGCTGCCTGCCTTCCCGCCGGCAGGAAAGGCGAGCCCGGGAGCGCTGGCCCGGATGGGGCGCGGCGGGTACTCCGGGTGGGGTCGCCCCGCAGCTCCGCTTACCTTTCATGGTCCTTGCAGCCGGAGCCTCGGGAGGGCCCCGCGCGGGCGGCTGGAGCCTGGCGGATGCAGCTGGCGGGTCCTCCCCGGGCACCGGGTCGCCGCCCTATGCGCCGCCCGCGGGCGTCATGCTGAGGACTAGGCGTGCAGCGGGAGGGGAGCGGGTGAGGAAGGCGCCGCGGGTCGCAGTGGGGACGCCCTGTCGGGCGCCTAGTGCCGCCGCCTACCCGAGCCCCGCGAGGTCCGCGCCGCCCCGCGCCCGGCGCCCGCCTCTCCGCCCGCGCGCATCCCTCCCTCCCTCCCTCGCTCGCCGCTTCCCTCCTTCCCTTCTTCCTTCCTTCCCTCCCTCCTCGTCACTCCTTGGGCCCCAGCCCAGATCAACTTCCTTGGTATTTTCAAAACTGCCGCGGCTGGGCCTCTTTGTGAGGCCGCAGTGAGGGCGCACGGGGGCGGGGCCCGGGGTCGCAGAGACTCGCGGCAGCTTCACTGTGGAGACCCGGACCACCTCGCGGCTGGGGGCTGGGGCGCAGACCCCGGGTTCTAGCTATGCACCTTTTCTCACCCAGCTGTGAGGTCTAGAGACAAGGACAGGGACTAGGAAGGGTTCCTGGGTTTCCAGCTCCTGCCCCAGTCGTTCAGCTTGCTCCGGTACTGCACCCGCCTCAGACTAGGATTCTTGGTCGCCCTAGGTGATGACCTCAAACACAGAGTTGACTCTTGTCATAAACGCTCCTCCTCCGTGTTACTGTTCAGTGAGTGACCAGTCTGTTGAGTACCTGCCAGGTCCCAGGCTGTGCCCTGAACTCAGAGGAAGGTGGGGCCAAACCCAGGAGATCGATCGCCCTGGTAAGGAAGGGGCAACTAAATCAGAACTGTACAGATGGAGGTGGTATGGAGGTTAGCACAGGAAAGCTCAGGGACAAAGGGGACCACGGGTGGGGACCACCCAACCTGGTCTGTCGGCTGCTGCAGTGGACCTCTGTTCCACACTCCGATGCTTCAGGCCACCACATTTAAGCTGGAGGGAAGCCACCCTGTGACAATGCACAGTAGAATAGAAAGGTCAGTTGTCTTCGATCCATTCCACCTTGCCCGACAGTTGGAGAAGTGCATTTTCTGGGTGATCTCAATATCCTTGAGGGAGGCAGGCCAGGGAGTGGGCTGCTTACTTCACAGGTGAGGAGACAAGTTCAGAGAGGACATTGCCTGCTTGGTATTGTAGGCCCAGAGAGCCACTCTCATCAGTCAGAGAAGGCTTTGCCTTAGAGCATCCCTGTGTATTTAACTTGTCTACCCCCTCACAGCAGCTGCGCGAGATAAGGAGCCTGGGCTGCTGCTGCAAAGACCCGGAAGCTTTCATTTCTGGCTGCAGATGAACCTTGGGAGGGCAAGGCAGGTCCCAGCCTTGCAGAGCAGATGGGGCTCTGGGGAGAAGAGCCCAGCTTTGTAGAGGGGCACAAAAAGGCTGGTGAAGTTAGGAGACAGCAGGGCCAAAGACCCGAGTGGTCAGAGCAAAGAAGACAGGAAGAGGAAGGTGTGACTGGAGCAGGGCTGAGTCTGAGAACAAGAGAGGAGGAAGACCCCTAGAGGTCAGCTAGGTTTTGAGAGACCACCTTCCAGTGTAGGGCATTTCTAGGCAGATCCTACCAACATCCAGAGGGGTGGCACCAGGGTCAACCAGAAGGCCCGCACCACTCTGGAGATCAGATTCGGAGGCGCAGGTGGCAGGCACTGGCTGGAGTGGGGTGGCGAGGAGCAAATTGCTTAGTACTGTTTTCACCCAGAATGCTGCCTAGTCTGTGGGCAGCTGGTCACATGCCCATGGCTTATGTGCAGGAAGGAAAGGGGGAAAGAGCAGGGCCCATCTTGAGTGCAGCTGACCTGCCTGTGATCTCAGCGCTGTGGGAGGCCAAAGCAGGAGAGTGGCAAGTTCCAGCCCAGGTGGTGCAGTTTAGCAACTCAGTAAGGCCCTGCCCAAAAATAAAACATGAATTTAAAAATGGTTGGGGATTTTGCTTAGTGTGAAGGCCTGGGTTTGATCCTCAGTACTGGGGAAAAGAAAGAGAAGGGTCATTTTAAAGGGGTAGAACTAGAAAATTGAAATCACAAGTGTGGCACTCCCCATGGGCTCAGGAAGGTGGAGCCCACCCCATGCTGCCTGGCTCATATCAGCCCCCTGCTGCAAAGCCCCCTAATGCACAATTTCTCTTCTTCTGACTAGAAACATCCCTCTTCCTCCTAAAACTCAGGACTGGCACCACCCCACCCCACCCCCCGGCAGCTCCTTTCCCACAGGGGCCCCAAATAGAGGTGCCCCTTGTGGGAGTTGGGTTTACACTCTTCAACTCTCCTCAGGATGTGGCACAGTGCTCAGTGCCCATGGAGGGCACTCACTTCCTTGTTGCCTAGCAACATAATGGTCTTACCTGTAACCGCCTGTCCATGTTGTGGCAAGTAATGTCTCAGGCAGAGCTGTAGAGAGAAAAGCAGCAACAGGATGGTCTATACAGTCACTGTCACCCTGTCCTCAGGGATGTGTTCTAAGGCCCTCGGGATGCAAGAGACCACAGATGGTACCAAACCCTATAAATACTTAAGTTTTTCTATACATACACACCTCTGATAAGCCCCAAGTTGTAAGCCAAGCACAGATGTACCAGATAAGCAGTAATGAGAGAACTAGATGCAAATTTGTGTGAATGTGCGCTCTCCCTTCTCTCTCTCTCTCTCTCTCTCTCTCTCTCTCTCTCTCTCTCTCTCTCCACCCCTCTCAAAATACCTTATTGTACTCTACATAAGAGCAGGCAGGTAGTAGACACAGTTAGGGGACACTGGCAAGAGGGACTATTCATATCCCAGGAGGGACAGAGCAGGATGGTGTGAGAATTCATTATGCCACCCAGAACTGCCTGCAATTTAAAGTGTATGAATTGTTTGGGGAAATTTCCATTTAATATTTATGGCTCACAGTGCGTGCAGCAGCTAAAAATGATGGAAAGCAAACCCACAGAAAAGGGAGAGCTACTGGGCCTAGCTGCACACAGCCACACCTAGGTCACTCCTGTACACACCCACCTCTCTGCATCTACACCTATACATATAGCCACACAGACAGACATTGCAAGGAGCTGGCTCACGAGGTTGTGTGGGCCAGCAGGTCCAAAAGCCCAGGGTGGGCCAGCAGGCTGGAGACCAGGAGGAAGATGTGAAGCTGCAGAGGTTGGCGACAGTGCAGAGGACCTGGGGGGATTGTTTCTTTTGCTTTTAGTACTGGGATGGAACCCCGGGCACTCTACAACAGAGCTCCATCCCTAGCCCTTCCTTCTTGGCATTCATTTAATTTTGAATCAGGTCTCACTAGGCTGGTCTTGAACTTATCACTCTCCTACCTCAACTTCCCAACTACTGTAGCTGGGATTACGGGTGTCACCACTGTGTCCCTCACCGTCATTTTCATTTTTTTCTTACATCCTTCAACTGCCCACCAAGGCCCACCACATTGTGAAAGGTGACCTGCTTTACTCAGTCTGTTGATCTAAGTGTTACTATCACCTAAAAAAACCACCTTCGCAAACACACGTAGAGCAGTGTGTGGTCAGATGCCTGGCACTTGGCCTAGCCAGGTTGACATAAAAAATTCACCTCACGAAGATCCATCACTGCTCTCTTCTTGCTGATTTGGTACACTCTGGTTTTCTTTCTGGATGTCTTCGGCTTTTCTGTGTTTTGGTTCCTGCTATTCAGTATCTCTCCTATATTCTAAGGAAAGGAGCGTACTTGTTTTAGTATAAAAATAACAGTTTTTCTGGATGGATGTGGAAGGCATGGTATGCTGAGTAGTGTAGCAGGAGATAAGGCTGCA